CTGGCCAGGTAGCTCAGTTGGTTAGAGGAAAAGAAAAAAAGAAAGTTTACCAAAGGAAAGGTATATATGGTAAATAAGTACACAAAAGACACTCAACACTAGGGAAATGTAAATGAAAACAACTACACAGCTATTGGAATTGCAACAAGTAAAAAGGATGAAGATTCAGAGCAACTGCAACTGTTAGAGTTTGCTGGTAGAAATAAAACATGATACAACCTCTCTTTTTATCTTTTAAATCCTCACCTGAGGATATTTTTTCCATTGCTTTTTGGAGACAGTGGAAGGGAGAGAGAAGAGAGAGACATCAGTGTGATCAAGCCTGCAACTGAGTTATGTGCCCTTGACTGGACTCAAACCCGAGACCTTTTAGTCTTCTGGCCGAAGCTCTAACCACTAAGCCAGACCAGCTAGGGTCATATGACCTCTTTCAAAAACTGCTTGGTGCTTTCTTATATAGTTAAACAGATAACGATTATAAGACTCAGCAATTCCATTCTTTGTAGTTACTGAAAAGCAGTGAAAACATATATCCTACAAAGGTGTGTACATGGATGTTTATAGGACTGAAAATAGCCCAGCTGCCCATCAACGGGTACATGAATGAATGGATTATGGTACCTCTATACAATGGAACACTCCTTGCCCTTAAATAGGAGCAAGCCACTGATACCTACCACAACACCGATGGGCCTCAAAGTTTTTTGCTAAGTGAAAGAAAGAAGCCAGACACGAAAGTTTACATACTGTGCGATTCTGCTTATATGACATTCTGGAAAAGGCAAAACCACGTGAACAGCAGTCAGATCGGTGGTACCTAGGGACTGGGGTTGAAAGGAGGGAAAGGAATACAGAGGGCGCACAAAGTTGTTGCTTGAGGTGATGGAAATGTTCTGTATCTTAATTCTTGTGGTGGTGGTAATATGGCGGTACATATTCATCAAAATTCAGAGTACAGGCCCTGCCGGTGTGGCTCAGAGGTTGAGCATCCACCTAGGATCCAGGAGATCGCAGTTCGATTCCTGGTTGGGGCACATGCCCAGGTTTAGGGCTCGATCCCCAGTACAGGGTGTGCAGTAGGCAGCTGATCAGGGACTCATCATAGATGTCTCTCTCTCTCTCCCTCTCCCTTCCTCTCTCTGAAATCAATAAAGATAAATTAAAAAAAAATCATAGAACCATGCGCCTAAAGTTAATGTCAACATATACAAATTATACTACAATAAACCTAACGTTAAAAAAAAACAGGGTGGAGAAAAAATGTGAATATTTTTGCTTGCCGCTTAGGCTCCAATGATTAATAGTGATGTCTCTTATAATGTGCCAAGCTCCTAAAACAGGCAAGATGCCAGTTACCACGTACCCCTGACTGTTTCCACCCCCACATCTCTCTCAATCTCCCGTCGCATGCAAGCTCCCTTCCTGTCTAACTCAAGAAGATCGTGACAGCCTCGGGCTCTTTGCTTGAGGCTCTTTGCTGTCTCCCAGATCTCTGCACAGTTGACTTCTTTTCGTCACTCATGTCTTAGCTCCAAAGTCACCTTCTGGGAGAGGCTACCCTAATCATGCTCTATAAAGCAGCTATCCTCATCGCCTGTCACTATCACATTATTTTTGCATTTTTCTCCCCGTAGCCCTTAAGACTAGCTGAAATCCTCATTTGTTTGCATGTTGTCTGTGTCTTTGCAAGGCTTTTGTCCATCTTCTTTACCTTCCAGAACAGTGCCTGGCACAGTAGACTCACAAATAAGATTCGTATTGAATGACGTGTTATTCCTTGCTAAGCTCTTCAAGGATCTTTGCCCCACCTTGTTTGGCTCAGTGGTTAGAGAGTCAGCCCTCGGACTGAAGGGTCTCCGGTTGGCGTCCAGCCATGGGCACACACCCCTGTCGCAGGCTGGATCCCCAGCCCGGGTGGGGGGCAACCAGTCGATGAGTCTCACACTGATGTTTCTCTCTCTCTCTCTCTCTCCCTTCCACTCTCTCAAAAAGCAATGGAGAAAATATCCTCAAGTGAGGATTAAAAAAAAAAAAGTGGTATGGCCTATGAGAGAAAGAGGGGTAAAAGCCTTTGCAACAGAGTGAAGTGCAGGTGAGTGATGGGGGGGACTGAGATGGGGGAGGAACGACAGAGTAAGACATAAAGCACACATCAGCCAGTCACGAAGGGAAGGACTTTGTTGGGTCCTGAGGCAATTGGCATCCAAATACTGACTTGATTTTGATTTTAAATAATTATTAATTTATTTCAAAGTGAGTTCTGTGGTTAAGTGATAAAAGAAGAGTCCTATCTCTTAGAGATACATGTCGAAATGATAAGAGTGTCTGTGGGTAGATAATTGTTGACGTTGGGCAATGGGTACACTGTTCTCTGTAATTTTTTCATATGTTTGTGTGAACCCTGAGAAGGAAAATATCTGCTGAGAGGACTCCTTGTGATGAACTGGACACAAATTCGTAACCAGAGTTTAGCAGCCATTGATGACAAAGTCTTCACTCCCTCTGAAAACAATGGAAAAAACATCCTCGGGTGGGGATTACAAAACCACCACCACAAAAGGTATAAGTATCGTGGTAATCGCCAGAACTAACTAACTAACTAAAATAAAATAAAATAATAAAATAAAATAAAATGAAATGAAATGAAAAGCAGTCTCCCCTTTGTGTCCCAGGAGCACACCTTCTTTTCTAGTGGATGCTGTGTTTCCCGCTTTTGTAAACTGTTTACCTGAGGAGTTTCTCCTTTTACTGCACCCCGGGCTGAGCACTCCTGTTGGCATTAAATTGGTGGCAGCGACCTTCTGTTGACATTTGGAATGCTCCATAAGTTTTTAAAAATGAAGTCAAAGAATCTTATTTTAAGGAGGTAAAGTTGAGAATTTTTATCAGAATCCATTTTTTTCCTTTCATGGGCGACAAGGGCTTGTAAGTTTCCCATGAATTTAAAAATTTGTGACACTTCTAATGAAAATAACCTTCCAAAGAAAACTTTAAGTCTGGTTTCTTTTTCAATTTGCTAATTTGTTGCCTGGAAATAGAAGAGACATCTCTGAATTTCTAAACAAAAATAAAAGTGGATGGATAGTGAAGAAATGGAAATTGAGACTATATTATTCATTTCCAATCATGGTCGCAAATATTTCCAAATATATTTAAATAGTATATAGAATCCAATCTCATTTTTGAAAATATGACTTTTGACAGTGAGATTAGAGTCGACATAATTTTTAAAAATATCTGCTTATCTGTATTTTCAAACTTTTATGTAAGGCATGTAGATGGATGCTTTGTTTAATTTTAAGCGTTAAAACAACAACAAAAAACCCCCGCAGCCACCAGCTGCTACTGTTACTGAAGGTGGAGGTGCTCCGCCCACTTTAACGCCCCTGGCGACTGAGGCACCAAATTGCAGGAAGGTGGGGGAGGAGGGGGGAAGTATGCGCAGGCGCAATAGCGAGCCAGCGGTCTGAGGCGGGACAAGAGTCTCGGTTGAAGGACAGCTCTTTCAGCCAATAGAGAGGCAGCATCGTTGGCTTCTTCCAGGAGGACTGCGCCGGAAGTCGGGTTTCACCTGCGGTGAGGAAAGCGGCTCCGGGAGTGAAGCGGCGCTGAGGTGAGTGGGCGGCGACGACTTGGGGCTCCGTTCGGCGCGCCTTTCTCGTTCCGCATCCCGCAGCCTCGTCAGGGCG